ATTTAGTTAGAGTGAATTCGCTTCCAACTAAGCACTAAGTAATAATTTACATCACAATTCTAACAAACAATCCGATGTGTTAATGGTAGTGTAAAGTAAGCGAATGCGTGACGTAACGGTTTAGATATGGTTTTTTGTGTTTATTCGCAACACAATAGGATTATTCTCCATTGATCATAGCTTATTACATTATAAGCGGCTATAAGGGTACGTTACATGAAAACTAAATTTGGTTTATCGGTTTTATGGAAAGTAGGTGTAAATGCGGCAATAGTAATTTATGACGCAGTCGTGTTTTATTTACGTAGGGATATTTTATTTCTTGAAGTCTGGTAAAAATGAATTAAAAGCTATTTTCACAAAGACATTACGATACAAAATTCAGAATTCCAACTTCGAGCGGTTACAATTAGAGAAAAGAGCTTCTTAATAAAGAGAAAAATATATCAAACAAACAAAAGGTAATGCGGGGTAAGTGGGGAGTTATCTGGCCGTAAAGTTTGGAGGAGGCCGCGGCTACGAAGGCGGCTGGAGGCGGGCCCTCACAATGCCCTCAACTACTAATGTTTACTCAACGTAGAGCGCGACAAAGGGCCGGAACTATTGTTTGTTGGAAAAGCTTTATTTAGCTACCCTCGCCGCGTCGTGCCAAGCGACAATAGGTTACCCAACTTAAAAATATATTATCGTGATCTTCGATAGTCTTAACGTGGATTAAATATTTTAATAAAATCACTTATTTTCATTGTGATATATCCACGATCATTTATTTAATCCAGTGATTCTCAACGTTTTTTTTTTATGTCGCGGCACGCTTTTCACGATTTCATATTCGGATTCAAAGAAAAAGATAAATTTAAAAGTTGTTTACTAATATATAATAAAAGTAAGATAGTATGATAATAATTTTGAAAGTAAAAATGGTAATTTAAAGTATAGATACTAATACTTAAAATCGATTTAAATTCTTGAAATTATAATAATGCTGTGTACAATTTTTTACTTAGCAGATTTATAATGGTTTTTGCTTTGAATTAGGTTAGCTAATTGTTGAAATTAATACTAAAATAAATCTAGCTTCAATAAATTTACTGCAATCTGTGCGTTACTAATCAAATTTGGATAAATGCAAAAGGTAAATATATACATATATATTATATTTTTACCAGTGAAACCCGGTTATGCTCTGATGTCATATTCACCTATTATGTACATTATCCCGTGGATTTTCCAAAGAATAATTATATAATTTAACTTAAAAAATTACGAACACAACGTACAGAAATAAACTAGATTGGTCGAATCTTGATACGTCGTTATACATGAAATATTTTTTCAAATCTAACTATAGTGGTTTGCATACAATAATTAAAAGCAATTTAATTCTAAACTTTAATTTCTAATATTGATATTCAATTAGTAGATAATATTATGTTATAAAATATAAAGTGTCCCTGTGTTGCTTACATCCGCTGGAAGCAAGGGCGCTGGAGAGTTGAAAATTATCCTTTTCATGAACGACCTCAAACATAATAGAGAAAGCACTTAAGCCATTTTCTCCGCCTTTGAGTGGCGTAAGCGCGGCCATTTGCTGGGACTACATCTCTCGAGCTAGAAAATTAGCCATTAAAGATCTCTAGCCAGCTTTGTCAAGTCGTATGACTCAACTATTGCGGACTATGTCCTGCTTAAGTAATCTATTTCCTTTTTAGCATAATTAAAACTACTTTTACTGCTTAATCTCGCTTTTATTATTTTAATTTTATTATTTTGGTTGTTTCGAATAATTTATGGTTATCGTGATCACTAAGCTGCTATTGGACGACATTTAAAGAACTAACTATTGTCATGTTTTGCTGACCAATCGCGAAAACCGAAAAAATCAATTTTAGTATTTATGTTTTCATTGAATTATATAAAGTGTATTCAGATTTTAAAGACATACTATTAGGCCTTTAAAGTAAAGGCTTAATACAGACATTACTTTGTTGTGCTCATTCAACAGGGTGAAGAACAAAATGTTCTGACCTCTACTTGATTACCAGAGTACTAAAAATTCAGTACCGCCGCAAAAATCGTTCGCGTGCAATGATACTGTAGTCAAAATTTCATAACGACATTGATAATTCAATTCCAATAAGACGGAAAATGATTTGTCACGCGACTGAACGGCTATTTCAAAGACGCGTTATGCTTTTACGAATCCCTTTACAAATTGGATTTTCATGATAGCATATTAAATTCATGTCCGTTAGATTCGGTGATATTTTATCAACGTCGTGTTTTTTGATATTCCCTCATGTAAAAGATCACATCTCTTAGTGGCCGGGTATAAAAGTACCGATCTATGAATAATAAATGTGTCGAGCTAGCCGGTTGAGGAAATTGAATTTTATAGTTCGTAACACGTTTGAGGACAGATGTCACAAAATGGCTGTCCGCCGGCGGCTATGTGGCATTGGTGCGTAATCGAAATGTCAAATACAAATCAAAATTAGGTCGATTGTAGTGTTAATAATTAAATAATGATGGACTGGATTGTCGCTGGGCGGCTTTTGTTGGTATAACGAGGGAACACGCTTATTTCGTAGCGCGTGGGGAAGGTGTGAGCTTTATTACCATTAACGAAGTTACTTCTGTTTGGCTGAACAATCATGGGCTTTTAATATGAGATATATAACGATCGGGTGTGCAGTAGGATTTAAATTATTTTTTCGTAGCATGAGAGGCTCCGTACGCCGTACATTAGAAGTGAGATACTTCATATTACCTTTTTTTATTGGCAGTGTAGGCAGACGAGCATACGGTCCACCTGATGGTGAGTGGTTACCGTCCGTCGCCAATGGACTTCAGCAATGCCAGTGGCAGAGCCGGGCCGCTGCCTACCGTACCTATACCTCATATACATTTTACGTCCGCCTGATTTCAAAATCTTGGGATTTTTTTTTTCTTTGGAGAATAGGAACTGGTGAAACTTAGATGGTTAAGTTAAGTAAGATTTAATCTGACTTGATTATTTCTTATTTGTATGTTTTATTTTTTTATAATTTATTTGTTATATCGTTATTGTTACTTAATTTGCCAGAAAAACAACACATTGGTGAGTCTGTGTCTTGCGAATACAAAACAATGACAAAATTAAATTATTATGAATGTAAGATAGAATAATTGACAATTTGACAAGAGTCGCATCGCACAACAATGGTATACAGACGATTTTCATGCAACCACGGGGGAAAGGCACTGAGAATTTCTTAAAAATATTAAATCTTATGGTGTCTTTGGAAGCGTGTAGCTTTTACTACCAGATACGTCATATTTTTAAATAAACAAAAATCACCGTCTGCAAGTCTATAAATGTAATTCAAGATATTAAAAAGTAAAACAAAGAGTGATAGATGTAAAATAAAAGATACATTAAGTAAAACTAAATTCACCACTTCAATTTGACTGTCCTTTAAATTTTATTATTGTTCTCCTCTTCACGATTCAGAAATGGATTAACTTTATCCGTTTACATCATTAAATTTTATTAGTGGTAACACAATAGAGATCTATCTGGGTACGAGAGAGGGATTTTTCCGCAGGCGATGTACTCCCCCAGCCAATTCGTATTTCCTTTTGGCGTGAATTAAGCAGGCTATTACGTCGGGTTCGAGACGTATGACGAATCATAAAGCCGGACGCACAATAGAGATACTTCCATTTAAAGATTTGGCCGATTTGCGACCGGAAATCAGCTTTTTAATGTCAGCACTCCGGGGAACATTTTATTGACCCGCTCGCAATATCTACAATTACAGTTTTTGTACAGTTAGCATTTCCGCTTAGAGTAATAAACAACCTGAGTACACGCTATTTATAGCTTTACCTAAATAACTATATAGTAAAAAATCGCAAATATTACGATATTTTTTTACAGCATATAATAAAGCTTTAATAAATTAATGAAATACGTACTTAACAAATGTCCACGATTGACTTCCACGGTGAAGGAATAACATTGTGTAATAAAAATCAAACTCGCAAAATTATAATTTGCGTAATTACTGGTGGTAGGACCTCTTGTGAGTCCGCACGCGTAGGTACCACCACACGGCCTATTTATGCCGTGAAGCAGTAATGCGTTTCGGTTTGAATGGTGGAGCAGCCGGTGTACTGTAAAAGCCGAAACCTTGGAGCTCGTGTCTCGAGGTGGGTGGCGGCATTTACTACATTGTAGATGTCTGTGGGCCTCGGTAACCACTAAACGAAGTCGAAGTAGAAGTCGTTCGTCTCAAGTACGTAATTCTTTAGAAATTTTGGTACCTGCTCGGAGTTTTAGACCTTCACCGAATTTTATTTCTTTTAGGCCATCACCACTGCGAATCTTCAACCTACCTTAGCAGGCTACCTTAGGCAGAATACTATATCAGTCAGTTAAATTAGAAAATAGGTGAGGGTATCATAAGCATGAACAATGGTAATAGGAGTGTCAATAGTAGCTAAAATTCTGTTACGGCTTCTGCAGTATCAGAAATCTAGGATACCCGTAGCTTCCGATTACTGATTTTAGATTTCATAATCCATCTTATCCCATCACCGATCAAACACATTTTTAATATAATCTGTTCATCAACCTCATCTCTCTTTCAATTTAAAATTCAATCTTTTCAATGTTGTGTTTAGCTATTGCGTTATTTTAATATATAGATGGCGTGCGCTGTAGTTATTAGTGTAATCTGTCAAAAATGTCAAGACGACTCAACCGCGCGTTGCGATGTGGCCACGCTATTAGCTTCTATTATTATCGTCATTTCAATTCCTTGCCTAAACTAGTGGTCCTCAATCAGCTTTTGTCTGGGAATGTGTCACGCAATCTCTATTAAAAGTTGGAATTTCGAGGTATAGTAATTCGATACGAAATAGTTCCGTAATTGACATGTAATGGCATGTGTATAACGAATATTATATTCTAAAATTAAATTATGTAAATTTTAATTTGTCTACATTTTAAATATTTAATCTCTAAGAATCGGTATGCCGTCGAGTTTTATAATTTGTTGCAATCTGTTCGCTGCCTGAGCGCGCCATGTATCGATGTCCGGTTGATTTTCGCATATGGGATTGCCAGTAAATACTAAGTCTCGTAGCGCCGGACACTCCTGTGAATAGAAGACGTGGCATTTAAATCATATAATACTGGTTCTCAACTCGTCGAAGGGATATTTGCTCATCTGCCGTGAAACTGACCTGACTGAAAGATAGAATAGGCCATATTGCTTTGCAACTAAGACTTGGATATGATATTTCAAAGTAAGCGGCTGTATTCATGCTTTAATATCTATGAGCTACGATAATCTACGGCAAAAATATGTTTTGTAAAAATAATTGTTTATGTAATAACTAGCTGTTATCTGAAGAATTAAGTGGTGTTTTTTTTTTCGGAATAAAAGGTAGCCTATGTCACTCTCCTGATCTAATGCTATCACTTTAAAAAATCATGTCAATCCATTGCTTTGTTTCAGCATGAAACAAGGACAAACAAACATGATTTCATATTTATAATATTAAAGTATCGATAAACACAACATACAAATTAAAAAAAGTGAAAATATTGTTTTTAACCTGTAATCTGTTGAATTCCACCCATTCCTTGACAGCGTTATTGGCCATATATAGGACGCGGAGATTCTTTAGTGCTCCAATACCTTTCAGCTTGTCGATGGGATTGTAGCTGATCCATAGCTCTTCAAGGCTATCTGCCACAGTTTCCTTGACATATATGTAAATTGAATAGGTATGTATTTAATGCTTTTTCAGCAACTTTATGCTGTTCAACTACAGAACGCGACGGATAATATGTGTAGCATGGCATTAGCTAAATATACCTACATTTATCGCTATTACGACGTATTCAAATTAAAACAAATACAGTGATAGAGATAGAAAATAAATTAGGAGGGATGGATGATATTAATTTCGTCAAAATATGTAAACGAGAATAAATTCGTAGGTCTTTGTTGATTTGTTCTTTCGCCCAACGACGGATCAATGGATCGAATTTTGGCAATGAGATCTTTTATAAGTTGTTGGCAAAACGGCTATTTTTAATTCCGAAAAAATTTGGAGTTTTTATCATTCGTATTTTGCACAAATAAATTGAGAGTTCTACACCAAATATTTCTTAAATATATTGCGAACACTTAGATCTCTTTAAACATATTTTAATTACAGGACATTTATTTTTTCTTACCACGCCTGACAATGACTTTATGTAGTTTCTTCCAAGAGACAATATCTTAAGATTTCTCATTCCCGCAATCCCGGCTATTTTATCGATCATATTGGACGATAAGCTTAATTTTCTAGGACAATAAAAGTGCTCGTTTCAGTTTAATATACTATTTTATTGTATTACATTTTTTGGATGAACTAACGACCCACTCATATACACCATAACGTAGGTTCCTTCACACATCTTGTCACATGAGTTTGAAGTGTCAATTGCAATAAGCCTACAGCTGTCCTGTTATGCGGTAGGCAGCGGCTTGGCTCTGCCCCTGGCATTGCTGAAGTCCATGGGCGACGGTAACCACTCACCATCAGGTGGGCCGTATGCTCGTCTGCCTACAGAGGCAATAAAAAAAAATACCCTTCAAATCAGAATGCATAACATTAATTCATTAAATAAATTAAATAAATAAATAAAAAATAAACGCATAGCTTTATTACAGAGTAGCTGTATGTACTTGTCCGCTTCGCTGGGTATTTCAAATTAACATTATTATTTCTCACTCCCACAAAAATTCTCATCATTAACGCCCCCGCAACTGGTGTAGGGAGTCCAACACTCATATAAATATTAGCCTATCCATTAAGTACATGTATTTTCTACGTGGATACCAAGTTTCATGTCAATCGTATGCATGGTTCAGTAGTTATAACGGAACATCCGTAAAAACCACTGTAGATTTATATATTAGTATAGATTAGGACGACTAGGTAATCTCGGCTTTGTTTGACTACGGCTATCACTAGGCCAGGCGTAGGGGAAGCATGAGCTCTGCGCGAAACGCGTCATCATGCCCCTAGCATGCCTTAGATGAGTTTTCCTTCATCCGAATTTTGGACGCGGGTTTCTTGAGTGACAGAGGATTTTATTTGGTTCAACTCTAACATGCGCTACCGTTCCCAACGCTTAGCGAGGGAGATCAGTGATTTATACCAACTTCCTGACCAAAATAAAAATGGCTATAGCTACACAATGAAAATACGCATGTTAGTTTTTTAAAATACTCGGTTGCCACCTATTTTTAATAAAAATTTTATTGCATAGCTGTGTGGACGAGCTCACAGCCCACCTGATGTTAAGTGCTTATCGGAGCCCATAGACATCTATAACCCAAATGCCGCCATCCACCTTGAGATATGAGTTCTATAGTCTTATATATATATAGTCTTATATAGTCTTAGTAGTTACAACGGACGCCCCACCCTTCAAGCTGAAATGCATTACTGCTTCACGGTTGAAATAGGCAGGGTTGTGGTACCTATCCGTGTCGATTCACTAGAAGTCCTACCAGCAGTAACCTTATATACGTTGGTAAAGCCAACAATAAACATAAAAAGTTTAAACGAAAGTAATATCAAGCTAATAACATTTGATTTAAATGTCCTGATGTACAGACCTAGGGTGTGGTGAAAAAAAATTATATAAATTGAAAACGTAATGACCATTCGTTAGCATTCATATGAATTGTGTGTGCGTAATACTTTTTTTAACACATGACACAGCCGATGTAAACAGGTTATCCTAATTAAATAAATAATTGTCGAAAACACTTCATTAATGTACTTTCAAAAAAATGTAGATTCCACTTGTGAATTTGGATCTTCGAGCGTGACACATTTTGAGGTAGGCCCGTGGCATTCGTCGACAACCGATCTAGTTCAAATTTTGTCAACAAGACTTCCTATTAACTTGAAAATTTGCATACGTATCATGCATCGAGAATACTATACATTTTATTAGATTGGATTTATTGGATTAGATTTTTATATATTCTGACCGGTAACGGTAAATTCTGATTAGCTTTTGTAATTGTGTATTTATTCTACATACAAAGTCTAGTTCTTGCAAACGGATATTTAAAAAAAGCATATTATTTAAACTCAGTAATGGCACAGGGCTGAATCGAATGCTCGGGTGAAAGTAGAGTTGTATATTGGGTTCAGTAGTATGGTGTAGTATATCACACAGCTGCAACTTAAAGGGAGTGGTCAAAGTCATACTAAAAAAGGGATGTCAATATTTTACGGTAGTAAATGTAGTATATCTACGTCAACCTTCAAATTATATGACCAGAATATTCAAGGAATTTATGCAAAATATGATGATTATGCAACACATTCATATAATAATAACAACGATGATACCTATATGCATGGAAAACTATTGATTGATCTCATCTTACTTACTCGCAATTCACTAGAGTGGAAAGCGCGCCATCCATTTTCTCAATAGGAGGCCACTGAAATTGAAGTTCTATAACTTTCGCGTCTGCTGCTGATTCGCCCTTTTGTTTTTCCCAACGAGCTATTGCTTCTTTGCAGGTAGTAGGTTTCAAAGCCATTGTTCGAAAGTAAATGCCTTTTTTTATTACTAAGAAGAAATTATACTTTATATAATGAATGTAATGATTTTAATTCACGTATTTCAATCGATTGCTTACGTCAGTTAAATAACAAATCAATTGATTGATTATGATATTTGACGTTTTCGGTTTGAAATTACGAATAATCTTTTTGTTTAGAAACTTTTTTAACTAGGCAAACCCGGTTAAGCTTTACTGTGACCTCAGTGGTAATCAAATAGAAAACTATTCGAAGAAATCTCGTGTCTGTAAAACCCTAAAAAAAGTCGTCGTGGTCTAAAGGATAAGACGTCCGGTGCATTCGTATCGAGCGATGCACTGGTGTTCGAATCTCGCTGGCGGGTACCAATTTTTCTAATGAAATACGTACTCAACAAATGTTCACGATTGACTTCCACGGTGAAGGAATAACATCGTGCAATAAAAATCAAACCCGCAAAATTATAATTTGCGTAATTACTGGTGGTAGGACCTCTTGTGAGTCCGCACGGGTAGGTACCACCGCCCCGCCTATTTCTGCCGTGAAGCAGTAATGCGTTTCGGTTTGAAGGGTGGGGCAGCCGTTGTGACTATACTGAGACCTTAGAACTATATCTCAAGGTGTGTGGCGCATTTACGTTATAGATGTCTATGGGCTCCAGTAACCACTTAACACCAGGTGGGCTGTGAGCTCGTCCACACATCTCAGCAATAAAAAAAAATAAAAAAAAACCTAATTGTTACAAGATGATATGAATTATCTAAAAGTTTTTCAGGTTTACAATGTGTTTTTTCTTTCTTCTTTTTATGATAGTACCTGCTCTTAAATTATCTCTTTTATTTTACTACTATTATTTTTGATTACTCCTGATAGTTATCTGTGCACTGAACTTATTAGTGGAATATGTTGTTGAGTTAAGTGTATGTGCTGATATGGCTTTCAGTTTAGTATTAATTTATGCTGGTTTTGCGAAATATAAGTAAAAAACATTTCTTCAAAATTTAATACAGTTTTTGATATGCAAGCTTCGCAAACTCCTTAAAATGTCCCATTTTTAAGTCAATTGACTTGAAACCTATTATTTTGGATTTTTTGGCCGCAAATGTAGAACATTAAATTTTGGTTTATGTCTGGAAAAAAAAATAGAACTAATTAATGATTAGCATGAAAGCTGTTGCTATGAGAACAGTTACTACAGTAACATTCACCATAGTAATGTAACTAGGATAAATTATCATTGAATACAAAACGTCTAGAATTTACTCTCTGCATGGACATCCCAGTATAAAAAGAAATTTAAAAAAACACGTGTGTCATTCGGGGACTGCCGCGGTAAAGACAATAATAATTTAATATTAAAACAATAATAAAATAAGATCACGCTATATTTATAATCATTAACAAAGCATTTACAAAAAGATTAACTGTCCCCTTCACACTCATAAGTTAGACCGCGCGAGAGAGAGATGGACAGACTTCATGATGCGCATGCAGTGCGACATCACGCCGCGCGCTTATACACAAACTAGTTAGGTACATGGTAGGTGGAGTGGGGGGTGTTAGGTTTTATTTTCGTTATAGAAGTTCTTGATTCGGGCGTCGCGCTCAAAGCTATGCAATAGCTTAAAACTTTTATGTTATAATGCAATCTTGTCTAAAGATTTGCAGTGATTTATTATGATAGGAGTATGACCTTTTAGACAAATAAAATAGAATAGAAAAAAAAGCAATTCTAATCGGGTTTGCAAGGTCGTGCCGGTTGGATTCCTTTAATCACATCGGACCCAAACCTGCCTTCTGATGCTTGGGACATGTATTGTGTGTAAAGTCGTATGCTTACTGAATAATAAGTAAGACGAACGGCGGATCAGCGATTTTCATTCTCATGTTTGCTTCGGGAACCGCTTAAAAGTGATTGAGCAGTAAGTTCGTCATTTATGCTGGTTTATGAAAAATAGCTACATATAATCTATGTTAATTAAGCATTAGTAAATTTATTTTAATTCTGAAACACATAGGTAGATAAATTCTTAGATTGAATATTTATAACATAATTAAAATAATTTTTACATTTTGTATTATCTCATACATAATATTGTTATGCATTTCCGATTGAAACATATTCTGAAAACTAAACTAGCATTTCAATTGGAATAAATACATTATTTGATGTTCCACATACCGTTTGAATTCATCTGTTTGTATTATGCTTAAATAATCAACAATCCCAGTCACATACAATGTAGACACTAATAGCTCATAAAGGGATTACCACTTATAAACATAGCCTTTTAAGTTACAAATATTTATTCTACCCCATAAAATAAACAGTATAAAGCAATAATTCGACCCGGCACGTGTCGACACGTGATATCACGAAAATTCGCGTTTATTGCACGTGCTATGTTTAAAATAGTGTAGTAAAGTTAATATGCTTTGTAAAATAGTTGAACAATATTGTTTGCTTATGTATTTTGAACCTGAATAAAATACTAAAAGATTTAGTAAATATTACGTCTTTTAAATAATTCTAGTTCGTTCATGTCCACAACTCACAAAAATTAAAGAAAAAGCAATTGAAATAATAATTCACATTTTTTAAATATCTGCGCAATTTTAAAAATAATGAATAGGTAGGTATTCTTTTTTAAATGATAACTCTTTCCACTTCCATTAATTCAGTTTCATCGCAATCATTCAATTCCGCTCCATTTAATTATTTGAATAACAAAGTAAGAATTGAAATTAATCTAAATTTTATAACTATACCCTGACTCTAAATACACCGTAAGACTTATGAAGTCAATTATGATACTGAAAAATAAAATAAAAAATAGTTGATTCGATATAATATAAGCACCATTTTCGCTCATCTAAATTTTCAGTTAAATAAAATGTATTGGATCATGTTCAATATATATTTTGGAAATTGCAGTATATAATAATACTAGCGGCACGCTCCAGCTTCGCTTGGATCTTTAATAAAAAATTCAAGATTAAAAATCATAATACGCGCACATCAACATATTTGTGTCAGATTACTAAAAAAAGAAAATTATAAAGATATATAATATAGTTTTATAGATATAGATATAATAGTTTTGACTATTATTATTTTAATGAACTTCTATTTTCATTTAAATGATATTTATCTCTTTTGTTATTATTTTTATATTATTATTTTTCTAATTTTCGTTTCATCATACGCATAAAACAAAAGCCATCGAGTTTATTGAGTCAGAGCTTCCCTGTAAACGATATTTGACGTTGTATTATTTTTAAAAATAAAAGAACACTTCTTGTGGCTAACTATAATAGTTAGACATAATTATGTTGTCGCGACACTTTTTGTAAATAATAATGTGTTCTAAAAAGTCATAGTACATTATTTCATTCTATCATCAATAGTTTTCGCAGCGCACGCGATGTAAATAGTATTTTAGGTAATTTTTTTACACCTTGGGTTACATTATTGGAGTTTTAGTAAGGATCCCTAATTTGTTTAAAAAAAAATATAGCTTATGTCACTCGGGGATAGTGTAGCTTCCAAACAGTGAAAGAAATTTACACGATTTTTGCTTCTAAACGACTGTCTTATGTGTCATATAAACGACTGTCAAAAGTGTCAAATCAACGTGTGCTTAGGGCTAACCTAAAATTTCAAAGCTATACAAAGTACATATTTACAAAAGAATCGTTTTAATGTAAATTTATAATGGATGATTTACAGTTAAACATATCTGTTTCACAAGGGGTAAGTTGTGTTTGTAACAGATATGCTACTGCCGAAATTTGGTGACTAATTGTTTTTTTTTCACAGAGTAAGAAGAAAGCAACATTGAAAAATAATGTATCAGAATATAAGTTTAAATCTAAACCTACGTTTACTGGCAAAATTATAGCTAGAAAAAGGCCCGTAAACCTCGGGCAGAAGAATATAGATACTAAATCAGTTGATGATGGACCAAAGAAAAAGATTCTTAAGGCTTCACATACACAAACAGGTGATTTAGCAACAAATTTAAGAGATCTTAGTGAAAACAAAGGAAAATTCCAAGGGAAGAACTATCAAGATCTCAGTGATGATATTCAAATGAAACAAAAGCCAAGAACAGGTGGATGGATATCTTCTCTTTTTAAAAATAATCCTGATGTGCCACGTATTGGGCAGCGTGCAGTCAAACCAATTGTTGAAAAAGTCTTTACTAGTAAAACATTTTCCGAGTTAGATATACATCCTCATAGTATTGCAAATTTACAACAGAATTTAGGTCTCAAAGAACTTATGACTGTACAACAAAATGCTATACCAGTTATTTTATGCGGACGAGATGTACTTATTAGGTAAGTTGAACTAATGTGGTTAATTTAGTTAAAATAAGTAAATAATAAATTCAATTCAGCAATATGGGTGTGTTAGGGCAATAAAATATACCCATTAAAATAACACTAACATGGATATTTTGTGATTTTCGCTGAGTGTTAAATATCTTTCTCCAGGCTCAAATGAAGTAAAAAGTGGACTTCTGAGACATATTTTATTAACCTCATATATACAGAATACTCTCTCCCGAGATTGAGTAATGTTTGCTGCTTAATCTGTCACACTATCTGGAGTGGAGCCACTTCCTCCTTTTCAGCTTGCACAAGTGCCAATATATTTTATGGTGTCTTGTGAGGATACTCATTAGCACTTGCTATTTTGCAGCTTAAAGTCATAGAATCCCGAAAGCACTATTGATATTTTGCATGAACTTTGTCTTATTTAGCATACAATAGATGTCCACGAGCTCAATTTATATGCTTGTAAACTTCTGGACAGTTCAGAAAATATTTCAGAGCCAATCAAAGGTATCTTAGTACTCATACTCCGGTCATTTGAACAAGACATGCAAATATACAGCAAATTTCTTTGTCCTTCAACCTATTGTGTCTCTGTATTTCTAGACTGAGAAACTTGTACTAATACAAAACTGAAAAAAATCATCTTTGTATTAAATTATACACACAGCATTCATACCTGATTTTAAATTTACAATAACATAATTTATTCATTGCTTTTATATGATTTGGAAAAAAAATTTATTTATTTTACTATAAAGTAAATCATATAAATTAGTAATTAATTATATTTCAAAAATTATTTGTTTGTTTATTATCTACTAATTAGTGATAAATAAAGATCATGAAGTTTTTTTTTTTTCATAAAACCTTGCTACCAGATCACAGACAGGCTCAGGAAAAACCTTAGCATATGCTTTGCCAATAATAGAAGGACTTCAGGCGATCAGACCTAAAATAAATAGACATGACGGAATTCGGGCCATCATTGTTGTTCCGACACGTGAATTGGCAGTACAAACTTATGAACTGCTTGTTAAGCTTGTTAAGGTAAATACAATGGCAATAACGATGATTATTTATTCATAGAATTTTTTGTTAATCATGAAGAAAAGCTTGAGTTTTTAAAGTTTTATAATTTTTTCAAGAGAGTTAGAATTTATAAAATTATCATCTGGCAAAGGCTGGTTAATAGAACTAGAATGAGTTCTTTTTAAACAAGAATGAAAGAAAGGGTCTTCTATAAGTAGCCTTTTGTGTCCAATTACATAAAGCGACCTTCCATTCAAATGTTACATAATGCTGGGGTACACCATCCTTTTTAAAATTTAATTCTAATTGTATCAAGGAAACCAGAGTTGTTTTTAAATACCAACAGTTTTTCATGATTTTATGATTCTTATACCAGACTAGAAAATTAAATGTCACCAGACTGTGCCAAGATGATACACATTTTGAATGTCATTCAAAAGCCAGGTTTAAATGTTGCTTGTTTTTTCCCTAGCTTGTGACTGCACAATATTTTGTTTTTATACCTTAAAGTTCTTTGATTCAGCTTTTCAAGTGATTAACTTTATACATACATTTATAAGTTTTGATAGAGGTTATATTTAATCAAGAGCAAATTTTATTTATCTTTAATGCACAATTAGTAGGTAGCTACCATACCATATTGAATGTTTAGGTATCAGTTGTAATATTATTTAATGAAATGCAATTTAATATATAAAGTGCTTTTTAGCCTTTTACCTGGATCGTACCTGGTCTTTTAAGTGGTGGTCAAAAACGGAAAGCAGAAAAAGCTAGGCTAAGAAAAGGATTAAGCATCCTTGTGGGAACACCGGGAAGGATAAATGACCACTTGAGGCATACAAAGTCTCTGAATTTTGATAAAACAGGGTACGTGTAAAATTTGTGTTTGAGAATTAGAATAATTCTAATAGAATTCAATTTAATTTTGAGTTACAGAAATTTGTAAACTGATAGGAATATTTTATTTTATGTTCACCTTTTATTTTATTTTTTTGAGTGGTTACTGCAGCTCATAGACATCAGTCATCACAACGTAAATGCCACAATCGATCTTGTGCTATGAGGTTGAAGTTTCAATTCAATATTCTGTAATGGCTAACCCCTGCCTTAAAATCCATTTCTGCTTAGTGGCAGAAATAGCTTTACAAGCATTAAAAACGTAGAGTTTAAAAATTCCTGTAAAATCCACAATACTGATACAATTTAATAAGTAATTACAGATAAGAGACAAAGAAAACTATTTAATAATAACATAACCAAAACAATAATCGGTTTGAATATATGAACACTCATGCTGACAATCGAAACTCTTTTCTGTGGTATTTGTATATTTGTATTTATTGTTTCTTGTAGTTGTTTAATTTTAGATGAAGCTGATAGGCTCTTGGATATGGGATATGAAAAAGACGTAGCTGCGATCGTCAAAGCTATTGAGGATCACAAAAAAGCTGCCACATACGATCCTATTGCTATGATTAAACAAAATGCAAAGAAGACGATCATAGATGATGATGAGTCTAAGCAAGCAGAACAGATTGTAAATAAAGATAACTCGGTTGTTGCTAAACATCATTTGACTGAAGTGTTTCTTGGGAAAGACAGACAAACAATCTTATTATCTGCTACACTCACTAAGGTAAAAACCGAATTAACAGTTGATTGATTAGGGCTTCTTAAAATTGTTTTATTATTTTATAATTACGTACATATTTTAGGCTGTAGAGAATTTAGCAGGCATCACAATGGTTGATCCTGTTTTCATTGATACATCCGAGGGAAAAGCAGTAGTTGCTGATTCTTTGAAACTACATACTAGCAATGTCATTAATAAAGAAGATGTATCAAAGGAAAAGAATGCAGCAATAGAGATCGAAACTGGAAATGAAATTAATATTAAGAAATCAAAAGAAAAAATATCCGTAAAGTCCGAAGAAGGCAATAAAACTGCTCTAGAAGCCAGACGAGGTATGTTAAATCAACCTTATAAATCATATTCAGTGACTTATTTAAATTTTTTCGTATCTTCAGCATAATTGTTACATAGATGGATTGAAATTTTAATGACAACATTATATTTTTAGGTCTGAAATCCTTTGGCGGTATAAATAATTCTGAATTATTAAGTTGTAATACTGGTAAACTTGATAATGTAAATGAGAATAATATAACAAAAGATGTTAATGACGAAACAAATAGTGATAGTGACTCTGACTATGAATATTTCAAAGTGCAAAAAGAACTTGAATCGAAAAAAGTAAGCGTGGAAACTATAAACGACGTAATAAAACCATCGGAGACTGGCAACACTTTTGTTGAAGCTATAAAGACTGCAATAGTTGAAGATGAACTAGTGCTGCCCGCAACAGTGAATCAGACATTTTTAATTGTCCCAATGAAACTACGATTAGTCACCCTTTGTTCGTTGATCGTCGAACATTGTGTATTGAATAAGAAAGGCGGTAAAATGATTGTTTTTATGGCAACACTAGAGATGGTCGATTATCATTCCGAATTAATTGAGAATGTTTTAACTGGGAACAATGTAAAGGTAAAGAAATCTGGAAATGAAAAGAACAAAGCTAAGAAAAGAAAGGCCAACGATAGTGAAAATCAGGTAAACGAATGTAAATATAAAGAAAGTTGTCACTTCGAACCTTTGGAATACATATATGGTTTTGTAAATACAGAGCTGTTTTGAAAAGTAAATAAAAATCCGGAAATAGTATAATAGTAGTAGTAAAATAGTATTTTTGCTTGAAATTAATATTACTAAAAGGACATCGGGCACCTTTGTATGGGACACTTACCTACAGCGAACAAAAATGAAATTAGGTCTGGTGGATAGGCAATTGAATCTAGTTTACAATGGTATAGGTCCCATATCTGTGAGCCGTGGGAATAAGGAGAAACTGGACATTAAAAAAATATATTTTTTTTTACTTTTTTGTGCAATAATTCAAGAGGAAAAAAGGAATAAAAAAAACATGTTTTTCTCTTTACTTTTATTCTGCCGCATCCAAATCTACAAGAGTTTCGTCTAAAAACGCCGCAGGTGCGTGAAATTCTTCTTGATATATAGCCCAAGATAAAAAGTATACCACACTGGCGATGTGCGCGCAACTCCCTACAGTGCGGCGGCCGTGTATACAGGAACAGTAATACCCTTCGAGGCTTTGTCTTCCTTGCAATGCCGGATTTATTAGTATATATGTATAATAGCGTTTTGCTCTTATGTGACGAGACTGTATTCTGCCTCGTATTAATATTTTATTTTCTACCAACTCTCTGCGATGGTATAATTCCATTATATACACTCCGTTTGGCCGCATGTGTTCATGGCAATAAGATTTGGCCAATTTCAAATGGTATATTCCCAAGGTAAATAAAAATAGCTCGTCGTAAGTTAATTGTGGAAAATCTCTTAATTCGGGATTGTTTGCCTCTATCGGCGTGAATGCAACTCTTTGCCTGTTTAAGTTGTTTCGAATCACGTAATCAGCCAATTCATTTTCTCTATTTATATTCTCATTTATTATATTTATAAACTCTGCGGCATGAGCGTTATCTCTATATGGCTGATAAGTGGCATTGATAAGTGCTGCAGTTATTTTAAAATCAGTCATCATATTTGTAAGCGCTACATTAAAATAAACATGGCGGAATATTTTGAAGTCTTTTTTAAAGCGACCATTAATAGTCTCTACCACCCAACGACACATAGTGATTAGACGTGATTTATTTGCATCTACTGTGCTCAACTGCTCTCCTCTCGTCCTTGTTGGCGGCATATGTATATATAGTGATATTTTAACTTACTGAGCGGTCATATTTAGTAATTAGGACAAATAGTCAACTTAAAATATGAATTTCATTTTACTTTTATTTCCATTTTCCCATTGTTATGAATTAAAATAACCACATAATATTAAATATGATTGGAAGCACTATGATTTAAAAGTGTTTTGGTTTATGTTCGCGACTTTAAAAAAAGCGGGTAAAAAACGCCCAATGATCTTTATGTTTAAATTTTAACGAAATATAAATTATAGGATAAATCCGAATCGTCGGATTCGGAATTTGAAATTGATTATCAAGAGGCAAACGAAGGCGGCCTAGTGCCAGTCGACTTGGAGATGTTCAGTCTCCACGGCTCGATGCCGCACGAAAGGAGAATGGAAGTGTTCAAACAGTTTCGGACGGCTAGAAGCGGTGTTTTAATCTGTACGGTGAGTGTTTGTGTTTGTTTATATAACTAAACTTTAAAAAAACTGTAACTAAATTTTATTACGGGACAATCATAAGTTTAGTCATTCATTTTATAGCATTATGTTGATACGTGTCTGGTTAACTAAATGAAAGGATTTTTATTGGATTTTATTTGTTGACCACTATTCTTTACTAGATTTTTTAACTTAGTTATCTGTCAATGTTCAATAATCCTTTCAGGAAAATGTTGTGACCTAACAGATAAATTAATTGACTTTTTAGAAAAAGAGCCCAAGAAACAGTTTTTTTTCTATTGTTTAGATGGGTGGACAAGCTCGCAGCCTACCTGATGTTAAGTGGTTACTGGAGCCCATAGACATCTACGACGTAAATGCGCCACCCACCTTGAGATATAAGTTCTAAGGTCTCAGTATAAGTTACAACGGCTGCCCCACCCTTCAAGCCATTATTGCTTCACGGCAGAAGTAGGCAAGCTGGTGGTGCCTACCCGTGCGGACTCACAAGAGGTCCTACCACCAGTAAAGGTCCTACCACCACTACCAGTGTTCAACGACTATGTAAAATTTTCATTTAGTTGATGCCGAATTTATTTCTTCGTGATTTTTTTTTTGAAATCATGACCGTGATCATGAAATTTTCCTACTAAATTGTGAGAGAAATAGTATAATCAAGACCATATAAATGTGATACTTTTTGGCGGGAACGCGAGGAGTGAAGTTGTGTGATTTCTTTTATTTTGTCTATTTAGTGTTTCTTCAGGTTTGAATGTGTATTAAAGGTGGTTTAATATCTGTGCACAAATGTGGGAAAATGAAACAAAGTCGCTGGACGTAACTTCTTGGGATCCTCCAAAAAGTCCACTGAAAAAATCTCAGTAAATAACCACCATTTTACTGAGATTATATTTCATCCCATATCATCTCATCTCATTTCATTCCAGTTGATTAATGTTAAATTAATTATCTCCATTTCATTTCATCTCATTTCACTCCATATTATCATTTTTCATAAAAATAAGATTAAAAATTAAAATAAGACTTGACCTAAAGGTCTTAGTTACCAGGTCATAAAATCCCTTAAAAAAACACATATAAATGTGAAGCTAAACTGAAATCATTTTTCGAAAGACATGAGTTGCTTTAAATATATTTTTGTAAGACGCCGGTACAAACACGAATATTACAAAATCTTAGCTTGAAAAATAATATTCTAGTAGGCAATTGGAATTCGTTCACGAGTACGGGGGCACATTGTTGTCGACGCGTATTAGACGGCCATTCATCTGCGTCTGTCGGCGCGGCTCCCACAAACGCCACAATACGTCTCGATTAAATACTATTATCTGTATTTATTACATCTATCAAGCCGCCACCTAGCTTTCGGAAGGAGATAAATCATCACCTACAGCGCGGATTGTTACTCAACGCCAGAAGCGAATTATAATTTTGTATTGCCCCTTTGCACGTGGTTTCATTTGATTCGTTTTTTTTTTAAAGCGGGATGAGTATTTCGATACGACATTTTAATTCGTTTTGAATGCGGTGAAAATAGCTACTAACAAATTAAAAAAAAACATCATAGTGATGAAATGAGTTACATATTAATAGTTAAATATTAATACGTGAAGCAAAAACTTTGTACTCCTTTTTACGAAAATTGCACGGACGGAGGAGTATAAAATTTCCTATACTTATAGAGAATATAGAGAAGGCGTGCAGAACTCTATTTTTTTTTTAAATCATGCATTAATAATACATTAAATCAATAAGAAAACATTGCACACACTACCATGTATTGGACATACACACACACACACATAATATATACTCCATGTTTATTGTCAAACTTTTGTTATTGCTTAAAGTCTGTGGTCAAATTGAGAATAGTATACTATTGTTTATCTTTAATATTATTTGTCTATAGTGTGGTATTGGCGAAATCTGTGAATAAAGAAGTCTATTAATTTTTGACAATAGAATTTTAATAATGTTCAAACTTATAATTACAGTTAATTATAGTCGAATCACGACTACTGCGGGACCACTAGTTAATAGTTAAATAAAAGAATTTAAGAATAAACGATTGAATTTCCGTAACAATTTATCGACGGCTTTTGTTTTTAGCGTTGTTAAAATTAATTTACGTATAAAACATAAACAAGCATCCGTGTGATGTTTCATTGTATTCAGGATGTGGCGGCCCGTGGCTTGGACGTGCCTCGAGTGGACCTCGTCTTGCAGTACTGCGCACCCGCATCCGCAACTGATTATGTTCACAGGTTAGTCATTACTTTTTATGATGATATCATCGCAGTTAGAGATATCGAACAATTAAAATTTGTAGTACGATCTTAATGTATTAATTAAATAATTGATTTAAGAGTTTGGTCTTGAGCAGTGATTTTAAGCAACCGCCGCGACAATTATTTATCACTAGATGATGACCAAGGTTTGCTCGGTTTTTGTTTTTGATAACGCCATCTTGTTGTGTCTATAAAGCGGTTAGTTGCCCTCAATTAAGAAAAATAGTATTATTATTCGCCAATAGATCTCGGGAAGAGTCGATTATTGAAAACACGAATAAAACAACATTTTCTGAAAATAAATCGTAGCTAGATCAATTTATCGCCCCCGAAATCCCCTGTATACTAAATATTATGAAAATCGTTGGAGCCGTTTCCGAGATTCAGATTTTATATATTGTATTAATATACAAGAATTGCTCGTTTAAAGGTATAATATTAAGTATAATATAATATAATATTAAGGTATTAATATTAAGGTATAATATAATATTAAGATTATAAACAATTTTAAACAGTGTATCATTGGTAAGTAAACCAGTTTTAAAATTTGGAAATCGTTAAAAATGTGCTGCGACATAAAAACTTTGAGAATCACTGGTCTAGAGGTTGAGACAAAACAGTTTTTTTTGCAAAATAAAACTGTAAGCTTTTGATAACTAATTTGACTATAAAATATGTTCTTCAATGCCCGTATCTAGTTATACCTCAATAAAATTAAGTTACCTCATCATGTATGTGTATTCGAAAAATTCACGTAATGAAAAATTCGTACCAGCTGGCGGGATCTGAACATGCGGCATAGTAGTAGTAGAAGTAGTTCGATACCAGCAGGGCCCTAAACTGCAATACTTTAAAACAAATATTTTTTTGTATGGAAACTAGCGACATCTTGTAGCGGATGCCCCTAAGCTTCTATGTTGTTAAAGTTAAGGTATTTAATTATTGTATTACTAAACACAGAATATAAAATAAACAAATCATACAAGTCTTTATTTGTTGTTGACAAATTATTAAATTTTATCAATTTGTGGTTTCTGAAAATTTACAAAATCCTTGATTAAAAATAAAATATAAGATAGGTAATATGTTACTGCCATCTACAGGAGCAATGAGAAACTAATCGAAACGAAGCCATCTAGTGGCCGACGCCCGTAAACATTTTTGTTGTGTGCTTGAGTTGCTTATCTATAACTTATTTATGTGTATTATCTATGGAAACGAGTGCACCGGCCGCCTTATCCTCTAGGCCATGACGGCTTTAGACTGTCTTGAGTATTGTTGACAGCTACCCTCAAATTTGAAATAAATAAACAAAGGATTAAACTAGTATTCGTAAAGCTGCACTTATTAATAAGAAGTTATATTAAAGTTAAAAAAAAACTAGCCAATGAATAGTAATTGTTAAGACGATTTTAATGAGTCTAAATTCAATTAGTGGCAATTCAATAGTTTTGTTACTTGTCAGGTTCTTCGAGACACCATTTGCGATGCTATTACGTCATTATTGTGTTTATATTACACATTAGTACGTATATACTTGCAAAGTTTTGAAGCAATTCAATTTATCGCTCTTAATTTAAAATTTTAATGCGTAGAATTTAAAAAATATATTAAAAAGTGCTTCCAAATTTTTTTGACATAACTACAAATCGTTTCTATTATTTTATATATTGAATTTTATGAATTTTTTATTTAATTTTTTTATGAAATTAACCCCAAGGGTTGGGCGTACCGGACGAGCGGCGCGTATCGGTGCTGCGGTAATGTTTCTCTTACCGAACGAAGCGGATTTTGTTCGATATTTAGAACAAAAACGTATTAGGTAAGTTCTTTCATTTATAATCATCATTATCCTGCCCTGCTCCCAGTTACCTGGGGTCGGCGCGACATGTTTTCTCCTTCCATACTTTTCTATCATATACCATTTCTTCGCTCACTCCCCTCTTACCAATATCGTCTTTCACGCAATCCATCCATTTCTTCTTAGGTCTACCTCTTCCTCTATATCCTTCCACATTCATAGTTAAAGCTTTCTTACCAATCTCATTTTCATTTCGTCTCATCACATGTTGTCTTTCTTTCATTTATGATATTCACACTAAATTTGTTAAACAAATAATTAATGACCATTCAAATTTTTCTAAGGGTTTTCATTATTATAGACATATTTAAAAATTTATAGACAGAAAAAATATTATAGACAAGACAGACATAATTCAATTGTTTAGTTCACATAGTTTTCATACGTCTTCACTCTGAAAAGCAAATACAATTTTTTTATTGCCCTTATACGAAGATTCTCCCCACCTGCCAGGGGCAGAGTCAAGCCGTTGCGTAACATTAATTAAAATACAAAAATACATTTTGCATCAATGAACCGGTAAACTTCAGGTTAAAACGACAGTCCAGATCTCTTAGTAATTATCTGCTTAAAGATTCTTGCGTGATGTGAAACATGATTGGAGAGATTAAAATTAATATAATGGAGTAATATGATATTTCTTTGCTTTCCACGAGTCGTCGACAAATTTAATACTACATGTACTATTTAGATTGGTGAAAGGCTAAATTAAAATTTGTTTCTTGTTTTTTTTTTTTATTGTCATTACATTATTTCTGACGTTTCGAATAATTTATAGTATCCGTGTAACTACATTCCCGATCCTGCGGAAAGAATGGAAATCAGTCGACGTCGCCCAAAACACGTCATTTCGGATCCTCCCGATCCACTAACGGTGCTTCTAGGTACTTCAAGCACCGGTCACCGTTCTCGTCGAACCCGTCGATTGCTACGAAGGGCTCGACGAGCAAATTAACCCTCAGACACAGCCCACTGAGTTTCTCGCCGGATCTTCTCAGTGGGTCGCGTTTCCGATCCGGTGGTAGATTCTGCGAAGCACGGCTCTTGCTAGGGTTTGTGTTAGCAACGTCGTCAGGTTTGAGCCCCGTGAGCTCACCTACTAGTTAAGGTTACGCTGGAATAGCCTCTCAAGGCTACCAGCTTAGGTGGAAAAAAAAAAGTATCCGTGGTCGCTTTCACGACTAAGGCTTTATTCGTCGACATTTTAATATTACTAGTGGTAATATTAATAGTCGAAATTCGACAATAATTCATTTAAATTATAAGTTTGAACACTATTAAGGTTCTATTGTCAAAAACTATTAAACTTCTGTAATCACCGATTTCGCCAAGACTAAACTATAGACAAATAATATTAAAGATAAACATTAACCTATTCGCAATTTGACCACAGACTGTGCAATAACAAAAGTTTGACAATAAACAAAGAGTATAAATATTTAAGTTTGTGTGTGTGTCAAATACAAAGTAGTGTGTGTAATGTTTTTTTTTATCGATTTAATGTATTATAATAGCACAATTTAAAAAATAAATGAGAATGTTGCATTCCTTCTCTACATTTACTATAAGCGTGGGAAATTTCATAATCCTCCGTCTGCGCAATTTTCTTAAAAATGTGTACAAAGTTTTTGCTTTACGTATTAATATATAGATTGTTGTTTTAATTTAATGCAATGAAAGGAGGTTTTACATGTATTGTTAGGCTGCGGCAAGACGATGAATCGAAATGTCTGGAAGCGTTACGTAGCGTTGCACCGGCGGCGCCGAGCGTGCAACGCGCCGCCATCGCGCTACAAGCCCGCCTCGAACACACCGCGCACAGCTCAAAGGAATGGCTCGCTAGGGCCAGTCGAGGTAAAATACATCGTACCTTTAGAATTGAAATGGCTTAAACCAAAATTCTTCACCATCAAGTATATTTCTGCTGTGAAACAGCCCAAAGTAGGAATTGCAGTCTGCCAACAGTTTTAAAAAGATTATTTGAGACTACGACCTTGATACGTCTACTGGCCGTGGTTACCACTCTCGAGGTAGGCTGTGAATGTTAATGCTTTAATCTTTGCATAATCTTTTTTTTCGAACCTGCGATCCCGATTTTATAGCACTTGTCCTTTAGCTGTTGCTGTTAGGTCTTTTTCGGAGGCGCTCGGGCTGCTGTGAGCAATTCCCATCCCTCTGGCTGAGCCTTTGCTCGCCCACCTGTCCTGGTGAAACCGGAAGGGCCCCGGGCCACCAGTAATCCTTCAATCATAGAAACAAAAAAAAAAACAATATTTCGCGTGAGGGCCAACAGTGATAGCGCTGGGCCACGGACGCGCACACTTATTGTTATTAGTAATACAACTTTTGTTGAGAAGTCGAGAGCGTCTACTTACTTACAAGAGGGGCAGGCGTACATACTAAAAGGATAATACTAGTAATCTTGAAACACGAGGTCTCATGGACAAAAACGCCTATCATAATACGTCTTCAACCCACCTTTCAGTGTTTATGATAAGATTTAGGAGAAATTTTTGTCAGAAATAAACGGTGTGGATTATATGATAATGGTAAATACATTACAATAAGAATGTTGCCAAAGATGGATGGCAGCATTCACATTTTGATGTCCAAGTTCTCCAAGGTAATCAACTAACACCAGAAGGGCTGTTCACAAATAGGAGCAATAAAAAAATTAAATATTCACTATACAGCGTACACATCATGGGTGCGGTTTTACTCGGGCTACCCTCGCGACGTGCGTCAGTACTTGGATCCCAAACTGTTGCACCTCGGTCACGCGGCTAAAGCCTTCGCTTTGAGAGACACCCCTGCGGCCCTCGCCAGGAGAACTAAGTCCGATCCTAAACTGAAGAAAGAGAGACCCGTCAACAGACTTACAGTCCACGACGAAGAAGAAAGGAAGAGGCCTGGGTATGATGGTTTAAAAAAAAGTTAAAACTTGAATTATTTTTGTACAATATTTGTGTATAAATAAATACTTGAGGTTTTCTGCCTGTAAATGCCGGTTGGTAAACCAAGGTATAGGCACAGAAAACTAATATTAAAAAAAACGTCTTTAAAAGTTTCAAACAAAAAGATTTGTATTTATTTGAAAACCTGGAAAAGTAAATGCGAAAAAGTATTTGGAATTGTGTTGCTAATCTTAACTATGAATTCTAAATTTATTAATATTTTATTACTTTTTTGTATGGTGTAAGGAATATAAAGTTGAACTTTGGCTTTGTTACAGCTTCCCCAAAGTGAAGATCGGTTTTAATAGCAGAGTTATGAATAAGCAAAGTTCAATGCACACGGCCAGTGAATTCGACAGCGGACTGCCCCCACTTGAAAATTCATACAAAAAGAAAAAGAAAAACTGATCGAACACATAAAAGCGTATTTATATCGACGATAAGCTTGTAATTATGAGTCAGATTGTAAATAAAAATTGCCTACGTGAAAAGCATAGTTTTATTTGAACTTCGTAATAATAGATGTACTTTTTTGTTGGATCTGTTTTGGGAGGCGAATCGAAGATGGACCTCGTCCAAAACTGTAATCGCGCTCCGGCTAGAGTTAATGGAGGCGCGGCCGATGGCTCCCGTATTCTGATTCACGAGTGACTCGAATGAAAAATGATTTTAAACCATTAACGTGCCCCGTCCGGCCTTTTGATATTTAAATTCTTTTTTACAAGCGGCCGTCATTACGGCGGAATGATTTGCGAATTCTGCCCCCGCTCGCGGTTTTTGTCAGGCTCGTTCAAGTTTTTTTTTTGTCGTATTCATTTACCGTGTTTTTATTGCAGCATAATGACAAATTAACAGACTATTGTGAGGCGGTTTCATGGCGATACTCGTTCTTTATAAATGGATGAAAAATGTTTCTGTTGACCACGGCTTAATCGTTAGCGAGAGGTTACTAAATCGTAAATACTTCATTACAAAAACCACGTAAAACATGCTCGGTTCTTAGACCAGAAAGGTTACTAACATTAGGGGTCGTGGTATGCCGATTGCGATGGAAAATCGTCTCGCTCCACTGCTCGGGTTCCGTGCGAGTTTTCACAATAAACATTTACGTTTGTTATGCCGACACAGCTGATATAGTTGTGCGGCGCGGCTTTGCGCATCATTAACCGGCACATTTGCATGTCGGCCGGCGCCAAACCTCGTGAAAATGCCTTTTCATTAGCATCAGCTCTACTGAAAAATCGTTCTGGCAACCGATGCCCATGATTCGGCGTCGCATTATATACGTAAATTACATGAAAATAATAATTGTATTACATTAAGCCTTCGTAATGTTTGATTTATAACAGTCGAGGGTGCTATTAAACGATTGTGTGATGTAACTTAGAATAATCATGGGATTTTAATCCATACAACGACATGAATAAGGTATACAGTCTTCGTTACTTGAAAATATGTAGATGAAAAAAATAATCGACGTATCTTGATTATTTATTTATATCATTAACGGTTTTTAATATGTAAACATCTGAACGAGCTAATGGGCCACTGATTGTAAATCGTTACCAGAGACCAGACATCAAGTTGAAGTCTAAAGCGGGTGTCCTAACGTTTGAAACCGGAACAAACGAATGCTTTCCGACAGAACTAGATAGGATACTGGCGCCTTCTCCGCGAGCCAGCTTAGAAATACGCCCAAACCGATTAGTAATTACGCAAATTTGGAAAATTTTACATTTTGTTTTTTACATTTTAAATTATTAGGTTCTCAATCCTGAAAGCCTGCTTGTTTTGAACTACGGTATAATCGCTTAGCTTCATAGAAGAACACCGGACGTCTTATCCTTTAGGCTACTTTGTAAATATATAGGTTTTTACAAAATCCAGTAACAACCAGTAACATTTCTGGGATTTTTACGACCGTATAAATTAGTGATGATTTTTTTTATGCATTTTTAATTTTACCTTTATTGATTTCATAATTTCATGTCTCGAATACGTAAAGCGAACAAAACGAACGCGAGAAAATGTGACTTAAATAAATAGTATCACATTCACATTCAGTAAAAAGATTCCGCAAAACTGACAATTTAATTACAACGAGACCAAACTTTTGACAGGGTGTGCAGTATGATTGATGTGTGAGAAATTATATCGGATTATAAACTTACTTCAATTGGAGTAATGTGTTCTTTACCCTCGAGTAATTCTGTATCATGCAGTCAATTCGAAAGTACAATGCGATGGGCCTTGCAGCAGCTAGCAGCAAGGTAATGTGTTCCCTGGGAAACGCATCGTTCGAATCTCAGGTTAAGTGCCTAAGCATTTGTGTCTTCTGTGAAGCCCAATATTGCATTCGTGCTTTTTAATTAATGTACTCTGGTTTAGTTTTTTGCATACGCACATATTAGCCTCGTATATATGAAAATTATTACTTATAAACAATTACCATTATACATATTTTGTATAGACCAAAAACAGAATATACAAAATTAAAATTGACCAGACTTCTTGTTTTTTTTTTGTTTTGTTATAAATAACGTTTTACCTAGTTTCGATATTCTAAGTATCTAATATCTCTTCTATGTAATTGAATGCAGCAGTTGGTCTATGCGTTGAGCGGCAGAATCAAACGCGCCGCGTCACGACCCACCGAATTATGAGCACAAAGCGCCGTTGATACCGAATATTCCATATAAATATTGAGCTAATCGCCCTTTCAATGAAGCTGCCCGCTTTTTATTAATAATTGATCGCGGAGTGGCGAGTCATGCGCCGCCGTATTGTGTAGGAGAACATATTTTTTTGTAGTAGCTCAACTCATTAATGTGAGTCCGACGAGTGCACATGACGCTACCGGGGGCGTGCTTCTGTGCAACTCTCGCCAAACTAATTTTACGACTCCTCCACCTTTTGTGTGGAACTAATTTCTGTTTGTTTTGTACAATGAGTGATGTGTCTACCATTTGAGCGTTTGGAAGTATCGAATGAAACAAATCTAATATAATATTGATATAGAGTTAATTTTACATATCCAAAAAACATGTCCACGTATTCAATTAAAACTCATAGCCTAATTAGCTTGTGAACATATTAAAGTATTATAACATAATCTAATTAGTCGCTTCTTTGTACAATGTTTAACAGAGTGTCGTCACTTTCGTTGGGAAATAAGCGCTTAGTTCCGTTTATCCCATTTATTTAATTAAACATTCTCACACGTTTCATAAAACAATAACTTTTAATTTTTAAGTATTATGGGCGCACCGCTTACAGTTTGTTAGGTTAGCATTAAGAGCGTCGTGGGAATTCGGTTACTATATTGTGTTAACCTCACCGCTGTTCGTGTTTGGGATAATTATCACTGTCTCGTGTACTTATTTCCACAGTTTACAAAACAGTCTTGCTACTTGTTACAACGTTTTATGTAGCTTTTTTTACTTTACCCTAAAGTAGTATAACAAGAATTCGATTAAAAAACAAACTAAAATAATTTCCACCCATATATTTTGTTATAAAACATGAATATTACTATAATTTTAAATCCATTGTAGCAGTGTATGGTTCGATGAATCACTATTGAATTACTATTAAAACTGAAGACAAAGAGTACTAGAGGAAAGCTATAGTTCCTAGGATATCCCGTATTTTTGTTATTTTAATAATTCATGGGCACTTCACCGCGTTCGGAGTGTCATTGTTCGAGAGATGTTGCCATCTGATTATCGTCATTGTTCTAAACCGGGAAACGAGTAACATTCACTCCATTTAATATAATTGAATGAGAAGCGTTATCAATTATAATTGTTGCGTCTTCGGACAACGACATTCGAACGAATTATTAACTGGGAATTGGATTAAGTAGCTTTGTTTGTGTAACAAAATATGTTTTGTTTCCTAATTAACTATCTATTTTAGAGTTCGTCAAAGTGAGAGGAGATCTTGTTCATAACGAATTGTGCAGTTCAGGTTTTGGATTAAGTGATTTTTCGTGAATTTTATATATCAAACATTACAAATTAATTCAATTTCATAATGAAGAAATAAATAAAAAAATATAAAATCAGGTAACTTAAAAAATTTTAATATAGTTTATTTTGAACACTGCATAGTGTTAAGAAAGGTTTTAATCACATTTATTTGAAAAAATAGTCTATGGAACTGTCTCTTGTTACTACATGAGTAAATACATATCTACGATGATTTCTCGTCGATCGAACGCCAAACGCGTTATGAGGGGGAATATGTTGGAAAAACGGATATTGTGACTGCCATTACCGGTGCTTAATCAAACTAAGTGTTGTTTGTGTACTTTGCACACGAAGCGTCAGCCCAAACTGTTTATACCCCACACCTTGAGAGATTTAACACAAAGCAGAGAACTTTTAGTTGGAAATAATTTAACGTCATTTTATAAATCAAAAATTTAATAGTACTTTACTTACTGGTGGTAGAGCATCTTATAAGTCCGCATGGATACCACCTCCCCTCCCAATTCTGCCATGAAACAGTAATGCCTTTCGGCTTAAAGGTTGGGCCAGCCATTGTGCTATAAAAATGAAACAGAACTCATGTCCCAAGGAGGGGGGCGGCATTTATGTTGTTGACGTCTGTGAGCTCCCGTAACCAATAAACACCAGCGGCGTCGTGAGTCGTGGGCTCGCCAGCCATCTAAGCAATTAAAAAAACTTTTATGTTAATAATAATAGCCGCCTAACTTCAACTTAATGATCGCATTTTAATAAGGATAATATACACCTAAACTTACCTTTTATCCAAAACTTATGTCGACGGTCGTGTCAATGACAGAAGCCAAAGAGTATTTTACGGAACAATTTCACCCGGGGTGTGTAACACGATGCGTTTGTCAGCTGAACGGAGTCTGTGGTCGCATGCTGACACAGAACACTGCGAAATTGCGCGTGCGCATAATTCCGTAACACGTTCATGGCAATTTCGCTGATATTCAGCAATTCGACTAGTTATTTGCGTTCTATATAACCGTTTTGAACTTTATAAGGTACGATTATCACTATTTGTCTACAGTTATTTGTTTATTGCCCGAGCAGGCAGACGAGCATACGGACCACCCAATGGTAAGTGGTTACCGTTGCTCATGGACGTCAGCAATGCCAGGGACAGAGCCAAGCCGCTGCATACCGCTTAATACATTCCACAACGTCGTTTGAAGAAGCACATGTCATAGCGCTCAGGAATCACCGAGGAAGGGGGAGCTCATTCCAAAGCATTCCAAACAAAATTCTCCCTTTTATTTTGTACTGTTGCCTGATACTTACTTACATAGAGTTTCGTTAGTGTTGATGAAGGAATACTCTTTCTTGATACCTTGGCTAAGTTGTTCCAGAGGTATTACAACTAGGAAAAAGCCACATCTCTGGTTTTAAATCACAATATGGAATTCATGGAATATATTAGCTTACGATTGACTGACCTTTAGTTATGTATTTACATATATTATCGT